CCTTGCCCAAGAGTGAAGAATCCAGAAGTGCACAAAAATACATTCCTGTCCATTGTATTTAGAGGGCATAGAAATTATTTCACAGAAGTCAATTCTCAGTTTTGTCTCCATAGAAGAAGCCTATAGTACTTTGAAATTGTAGTCCCTAATTTTGGTTTCTCTTAGTGACCTTGTCATTTTAACAAAAGAAAGATTGGCAAGAAACTTTGATAACAACAGCTTGTGGAAATCATCTGATAGTCCCATCTTGTATGCTATGTTATGAGCAATGTCATCACAGATCTAATAAAAATTACTGTACTGCTGTTTGTCCATAAATTTAATCTCTGCATGGCCACTGGTGGCCCCCAAAAGCCAGAGAATGTACAGTATATACACGTTGCCCTCCAGGATATTTGATATTTTATCTTTGCAGATAAACAAAACATATTAACAGATTAACAGAGTTGGAAGGGAACTTAATTGGTTGTCCACTAAAACTCCAAGATCCCTCTCATAGTTACTGCTATTGAGCCTGGTTTTACCCAGTCTATATGTGTACTTTTGGTTTTTCTTGCCTAAGTGTAAGACTTTACTTTTCTGTACACTGAATTTTATTTTGTTAGGTAGGGCCCAGTGTTCAAGTCTGTCAGGATCCATCTGGATCTTGAGCCTATCATCTAGGGCAGAGGTTTCAAACTTGCATCGTCATTGCAGTGGTCACGTGATGTATTGAGACTTCCCCCCTTTGTTAAACTGGACATGGGCGTGGCCAGCACATGACGCATCCAGCCCATGAGGCCAGGAGTTTGACAGCCCTGTTCTAGGGTATTAGTTATTCCTGTCAGCTTAACATCATCCACAAATTTGGTAAGTTCCCCTTCTATTTTTTCAGTCATAGCAGCAATGTGCCACATCATAGAGGAACCCAGTAAATGTATTTGTTATTGGATCAATAATTGATTGTACTTGAGTGGGTTACTAATAACTTTTAGAGCCACACTGCACATTCTCACTGTTCTTCATGACCTCTTATATCACTGACTGAAACAGCAATGCATTAATCAGTCATTTCTTCTTTAGTATTGCATTTCTCAGCCTTCAAAGCCTTACAAATAGGTATATATTTTTCTGGGCAAACTGAAAAGATTAGGTCATTACTTTCAGGAATCCAAGCAGAATATTAAAACCCCTGCAAATTATTTCAGGTTACTATTAAATTAGCCAGTAGGTAGTCAGTTTTGGTCGATGGAAGGATTGCAAGTTATATTTTAAAATGCATGGAAAATATAAAACATACATTTTTTTAAAAAAAGAATACATCATACAATAAGTTCAAAAGTGTATCTAGCCCTATGCAACTTTTTAACTGTAATTTAAATTACTAGTAATATTTTGCAGTCGTTGATGAAATTTTGCTATTACTTTTGGTTATTGGGGGTCTACATGGGACAGAGCAAAGATTCACAATAGCATGCAAAATAGTTTATTTTCTTATGTTTTCTCCTTTTTTCCAGGTTTTGGTGATACGACTTTCTAAAGGCTTAGAGAAGTTTTTTGTTTTTCCATTAGAAATTTGGGAGGAAATAGTGCCACTTATATTCAGGAACTAGAAATTGTGAGTTCAGCATTTTTGGTAGCTACAGACCATGACTATCAGCCCCTGACTTACTGCTGAGTGCTTGAGGCTGAAACAACTAAATATTGATCAATTAATCTAGTATCATCCAATTGAAAGTGAGGTCACATATTGGTTATTTTATTATCAAATTGGATGGAAATCTTGCCTGTTTCTGCTTGCCTTAAGAACAGTTTCTGAAATAACAGGGCTGGGAGAGCACAATAATTGGTCTATTTAAATTATTTTTATATGTTACACCGTTCATAATGTTGCGAGATGTGGGTTACAGAACATAATGCATATTTGGCAAAAATGTGACAGGAGACTCACACTGAAATATTTGTGTGAAATATTCAGATTAAAATTGTGGAGATTTAGACCTCATGTGAGTCTGCAGTTTGACTTATTGTCCCAAATTATGTAACTTGGTTTATTTGGAGAAAAGAGAAGAGGCATAAACTTTGCAGGATAGCTACATAAGATGAAGGTTGGAAAGCCAAGAAATTTATGAACTTTATATCAGTGTATATATACAGTACTTCATGAACTGGAATAGACATGGTAACATGTCAGCCAATGGGACTTTTGAATAGACATGGTAACAGGTCAGCCAATGGGGACTGTTGGATTAGATGTGGCAACAGGTCAGCCAATGTTTGGATATTGAAACATAGTATTTTTTTTGTATGGGCCCATAAGAGACAGTTGGAGTCTGAGTGTGGCTTTGACTTGCTGAAGTGTATATAAGAGTTGGTTTGTCCTCTGTAACCTCTGAGCCTCTGTATCTTACTTCTGTGAATATTGCTTCAGTGTTCCTGAATTTGTATGCTGACTTTTAGTATATGATATTGTATACAAAGAAGTTTATTATGTAGATGAATCTTGCAGAATTATTTATTTGTGTGCAAATATTCTGACACTTCATGCATAAAAATTAAACTATAAAGACTATAAAGTGGCACTCAAGCAATATTGTTTGTACTGTCACTATTTTGATTTTCCACTGGACTCTTTAAGTATTGCACCCATTTTCTTTTTCTCACTAATTATATTCTCCTATAATCTTTCAACCTTAGTATTCTTTCAAGTCTATTGGTACCACTCTATTGTTTACAGTTGCGCTGTTTTAACTATCTACAGCTACAATCTCAATCATGAGAGAATTATTTTTTTAAATGCAAGCAAAGTCTTACAATAAAACATTTGCATGTGCACATGGCATTGGGGAGAGAGTGAGAGAGAAGAATCTGCCTAAATAGGATTCCATTCCACAACCAATTTTTAAAAAATGTGTTGAAAGATTAAAAACACATCAATCAGTATGCAGTTCTAGTCAGTATCAGAATTCTGCATTCAATAGAATGCTGGATTTAGTTTAAGAGAAAGCAAAAGATATAATTTAAATATATCTACCAAAACTGCAAAGGAATTGAAGATTTGAGACTGAATATGCAAACCAAACTCAGCCCTGCGCTGCACCTGTAATAAGAACAGCTTAAGCAAAGTCTTATCACAAATGAATTTTCTAAACAGAAGAAGATACTCTGGAGAGGGAGATAACACTGTTTGTCTACCAGCTTACATTTTCCAATGTGTGATACTTAACCTTGAATGCAGCATGAATATATATATTAATATTTTATAGGGATTACACAACCACAATTGGGACCAGAATTTCCATTGCTGAGCAAGGCAGTTAAGTGAGTCATGCCTTTTTTAAATGACTTCTGCCATGACTTTAACAGCGGATCACTGCAGCTGTTGACTGAATCACATAGTCATTAAGTAAATTTATTTATTTATTTATTATTTATTTATTTTGTAAAGCAATTATAAGATAACAGGTATAAGTATAAACATAGTTATGGATCCATGAAATGGATACATATAAGAAAAATATAAAAGAAACAATAGGACAGGGACGGTAGGCACGTTGGTGCGCTTATGCACATCCCCTACAGACCTCTTAGGAAAGGGGTGAGATCAATAGTAGACAGTCTAAGGTTAAAGTTTTGGGGGTTTGGGGCAGAAACCATAGAGTCAGGTAGAGTATTCCAGACATTGACTACTCTGTTGCTGAAGTCGTATTTCCTGCAATCAAGTTTGGTGTGATTAACCTTGAGTTTGTATCTATTGTGTGCTCTTGTGTTGTTATGGTTGAAGCTGAAGTATTCATTGACAGGTAGGACATTGCAATGTATAATTTTATATACTATACTTAGATCGGACCGAAGGTGGCGTAGTTCTAGGTTTTCTAGGTCTAGAATTTCGAGTCTGCTGGCATAAGGTATTCTGCAACAAGTAGAGGAGTGGAGAACTCTTCTTGTGAAATATTTTTGGACTTTCTCAACTGTGTTAATATCAGATATGTAATGCGGGTTCCAGACTGATGAGCTGTATTTGAGTATTGGTCTAGGAAATGTTTTGTATGCTCTCATTAGTAGTGTGATATTACCAGGGAAAAAGCTACGTAGGATTAGATTAACAACTCTTATTAATGCCTTTTTGCCTATGTAGTTACAGTGGGCTCTGGCATTTAGATCATTAGAGATGAGTATTCCAAGGTCCTTGACAGAGTTTGGATCATCATCAAAGTCTTGACTTTTCAGCTTGTATTTTATTTTCTGATATATATTTTTTGCCAATATGTAAGACAGAGCAGTTATTTATTGAGGTTTGAAGTTGCCATTTGTTTGACCATTCTGATACATAGTTGAGGTCTTTTTGAAGGGTAGCAGTATTGTCTGTGGTGTTAAATAGCTTTACATCATCAGTGAAGAGAACGCAGTTGCTCTTAATATGATCACAGAGGTCACTTATGTATAGTATGAAAAGAGTTGGTCCTAGAACACTGTCTTGGGAGACACCACTGTTGACAGGTACAGAATGTTGACACTCCCAATTTTGCCATTTGTTGTCTGTTTGACAGGAATGCTTCTATCCAGTTATGCAGGTGTCTAGAGATACCATAAGATTTTATTTTTAGTAGTAGTTTGTCGTGTACCACTGAATTAAAGGCTTTACAGAAGTCTATGTAGATTGCATCTATTGCTTTGCCCTGATCAAGTTGTGTAGTCCATATGTTTCTGCAGTGTAAGAGTTGCAGATTACAGGATAGTTCTTTTCTGAAACCAAATTGTTTAAAAGAGAGTAGGTTGTTTGTCTCTGAGTGAAGGATAATGGATTGGTTAATAATTGATTCCATGACTTTATAGGTGACGCAGCATAAAGAGATTGGTCTGTAATTTTCAATTAGGCTGGGGTCTCCCTTTTTGAAGATGGGGATGACCGTGGTTTGTGACCATAGTTTTGGAAAGGAGCTGGTCCTGAAAGATTTTTCAAAGATTATGCTTAGAGGTTCGGCTATGGCAGTGGATAGCTTTTTAAAGAAGTATACACATATTCCATCCAGTCCAATAGATAGAGATGGTTTTAGATTGTGTAGTGCTTTTTCAACGTTGTCTTCTGTGAAATCAATATGTATTAGATCATTGTAGTCGCCTGTGATTAGACTAGGAAATACTGGGTATGATCCATTGCTGTTTACAAACACTGAGCCAAAGAATGTGTTAAAGAGGTTGGCTTTAATAGTGTCATCATTGCAGTCTTTACCATTTGGTCCTTTCAGGGGTGGGATGGACCTTGAATCTTTTAGTTTGTCGTTTACAAAATTGTAGAAAGCGTGGGTGGAATTGGTGTATAGAAGGTTTTCCTCTTGTTTAATGTGATAATTGGTGCATTCAGTCTTTATCTGGGGGCATACATTTTTTGTATCGACTTTTGAAGTTGACAACGTCACCGGATTTGTTTTTCCACCTAAATGATTTCTTTTTGGATTGAAGCTTCCTTCTTGTTATGGGCAATCTTTTTTTTCTGGTTTTTGGAGTTGTTATTGGTACATATAGTTTGATGACTCTTTTGACTTCAAGTAAAAATACGTTGTAATGGGCTTCAACAGTATTGCATCCAGTGAATAGAAATTGCCAATCAAGGGATGAGAGATCATTGTTTATAAGATCATAGTTGCCTTTTTTGAAGTTATAATTGGGGATTCTGTCGTTGTGATGATTTTTGTGTGGACATATGTTGAGACAAAAGTCAATCATATTGTGGTCACTGTTGGAAAAGGGTCCTTTAATTTGTATTCCATAAACTGAATTCAAACTATTGCAGAAGATGAGATCAAGGCAGTTATTAAGTCTAGTATTGCTGGTTACTAGTTGTTCTAGTCCCAGATTTGTTACAGCATTGTAGAAGGTTGCATGAATGGGTTCAGTTGTACATTAGCTCCCCCCACCGGAATAAGTCATTTTTTCCAATGCTGCTGTTAACTTCGAAAGGTTACTAAATGAATGGTTGTAAGTCAAGGAGTACCTGTACACAATATTGGAAATTGGGGGTGAAGCAGAATTGGAAGCTATAGGCATACTCTTATCCTAAACCCCTATGAAATCAGTAGTGAGAGTTCATGGTAAAGTCCTTCTTTGAAATTTGTAGCAGTTTGCTACATAAACATTGGGCATCTTCTATCATCTTTTGCAGTAAATACATTTTCAGTAAGAATGTATGATAAACACATTTCTAAAAAACCAGAATGCTTGGATGTTGCCTAGGCACATACCAGATTGCTTCTAAATAGGACCCCACTGCCAATGAAAGTTATCCATCTGTGAAATAATGAGCAACTGATTTTGGATGACTTTCCATTTCTCAGACAACTCCCTCCTCAAGATCTACTCCAAAAAGCCCTCCAAATTTTTGAAATAAACTTGGAAAGCAGAGGGAGGAAGAAGAGTTACTGAAAATCAACAGACACATCTACACATAGTCCAACAGAGAATCCTAGGAATAAATACTCACTCTTGGCAGAAAGGACTAACTTGTGTTGTGTGGTTATTGTCTTTGGCAATACATAATCATAGGTAAAAATAAATTCTGTCCCTAACATTAAGAATATATTGCTTATTTCTGACTTTGATGAGCTATCTCTGCATTCATACATGTGGTTTTTGTGCTTATTCAAAGTCCTTCTTTGGAATTAACCTTTAGCTAAGCTTTTAGGCAAAAACATATCACTTGCATGCTCAAAGAATCAAGTCCATCTTTGTTCAAGGTATAACTCTCTTCTCAGGTGTCTATTCTTGGAAAGATGCTATCATTCTAAAAGTTTGCTCTATAGTTCAGATAGTCAAATTTAGGAAGTTGATATGCAAGAAGATGATTTCTTTATCTTTATCTTAATAAGCAGATTACTGTTAGAGACTGCAAAACATTTGAATCACTCTGCAATTACCAAACTTCCTCCCTTCAATGTAAATGGCTAGCAGTCTTTTAATATCAAGTGCTTTCAGAAGCATGGTAACCATGTGGCAAGAAGATCAAAAGATAAAACAGGGGTGTCAGACTCGCATCGCCACAGCGTATCGGGACTTTTTTCCCCTTTGCTAAACTGGATGGGGGCAGGGCCAGCCCATGATGCATCCGGCCCACAGGCCGCTTGAGTTTGACACCCCTGAGATAAAGGTTGGTTAAGATAAAGATCAATGCAACTTTTGGTAAAAGTGTGACCTCAAATCAAAACACTTCCTTTTTCTGGACTTTTGGAAAGGAGGTCAGTTCTCAGTTACAGGATTCCTTCAAATTGATGTAATTGCTACAAGAGAGGCAGATATCATTGATTCAGGAGATCAAGTATTTATCTGTTAGGCCTATTGAAATGAACTAACCTGCTCACTGAATTAAAAAAGCATGTGCTCATCCTGAACATTAAAGGCCGGATGAACTTGCTGAGTGTCTGAAAAATCCCCCATCCCACTTTCAGTTAGCAAAATAGCAAGAAATTGTACCAAAACTATAGACTACTGAGAATGTAGACTCTTTTGGTAAATGACTTAGATCTCCCTTGCCAAAAATGGTAATGCTTTGACACATGGACACATGTGGAGGGGTAAACTAGAACAATGGACTGTACAAATTTTAGAATACACGGTAGTGTTTTTCTATGTTTTTAAATGTTTATATAGAATATTATCAAAGATGTGTCTTGGTGTGGCCAAGCTGTACTCAAAGTCACCATTTCAATGGCGCCTTGGTGTTTTTTTGAAGGTCAATTCAAGAGGCACATGCAGGTCAGGATGAGTGTGTGGAGGTGTAGGAGAAACATTGTGCAGATCGGGGAGATTGCACAGGGGTATGGTGTGTATTCCAGGGCCACCCATTAAATTTACTTTCTCTGCTACATCCTCCATCTTCTAGAAAAGCAACGCTACAGAGATAAGAACATGGCCCTGTCTCCTGCAGTTCTGGAAAGCTTTGAAAACTTGGCTTTGGATCCAGGCCCTGGAATTCAGGTTTGCAATTTGATTAAGGACCTTGTTTTGTTTTTTGGATTTTATTGTTAGAGAATTTTAGTCTGAGCTGCTTGTTGATTTAATATCTTCAGCTGTTTTTATGTCTTTTTTATTTTGTGGGCCATCCAGAATACACTGGATTAAATCTCCAATAAATTTAAATAAATAAGTAAATATCCATAAGCTGATCTGGTAATGTCAACAGGCTTGTTTGATTTTTATACTACCATTCCACCCACAAGCTTAAAACTATATAGAGAATTCCCTTTTCCAAATTTTCCCAACAATTCTGTGAGGTAAGTGGACTGAGAAATCCCCAAACCCAAACTGCCATCACCTTCCATGCCTGAAGACAGATCTGAATCAGCACCTCCCCACTCCAGTCCATTCCTTAACCAATACACTAAATCGGCTTGCTCCAAGACAATTTTTGGAGTTGTAAAAACAGAACTGCAGTCTCCATAGCAGGGCCATTTAATGGGCTCCATCTCATTCTGGGTTCCCCAGGCCTGCTGGCAAAACAGGTCTTCAGTGCCTTCCAAAAGAGTGCTAGAGGGGGGCCATTCTAATCTCTGGGAAAATGATATTCCAGAGAGAAGGAGCCACCATGGACAAGGCCCTTCTTCTGGGTCCAACCAGGTGTATCTCCCTCAGGGATGGAACCCGCAACATTCCCTACCTTCCCACTCTAATGGGTCAGGCAGATGTGACCAACAACAGATGTTCCCTCGGGTAACCTGATCCCAAGCCATGAAGGGCTTTAAAGATGACAACTAGCCCCTTGAATTGTACCTGGAAACAAATCGGCAACCAATGCAGCTCCTGCAGAAGAGGTGACACATGTGCATACTGGGGTCTGTACAAAACCATGCGGGCTGCTGCATTTTGCACCAACTGGAGCTTCTGGATGCTTTTCAAGGGAAGCCCCATATAGAGTGCATTGCAATAGTCAAGATGGGAAGTGACTAGGGCATGAGTGACTGTGAGTAGGGAAAGGGCGTAACTGGTGCACAACCCGCAGTTGCGCAAAGATCCTCCTGGCCACGACCACCACCTGCTCTTCAAGCAGGAATCGTGAGTCAAGGAAAACCCCTAGATTACACACAGGGTCTGCTTGGGGTAGTGCCACCCCATCCAAGACCAAAGGTGGCAATTCTCACTGAGCCAACAAACCCCAAACCCAGAGCCACTCAGTCTTGCAAGGGTTTAGTTTCAACCTGTTGCTCCCCATCCAGTCCCTAACAGCATCCAGGCACTGTGAGAGGGAGGACACAGCAACACTTAACTCACCACAGGCCAAGACATACAGCTGAGTATCATCAGCATATTGGTGATACTTCAGTCCATGGTGACAGATGATCTCACCCAGCAGTTTCATATAAATGTTGAACAGGAGCGGAGAGAGTACCGAGCCCTGCAGAACTCTGTAAAGCATGGCCGAGGGCTGGATCTCCCCCTTCCTATTAACACTGAGAGCAGCCGCAGAGGAAGGAAGTGAACCAAGACAGCACAAGGCCTGCCCACTCCCATCCCCCAAAGCTGGCCCAGGAGAATCCCATGGTCAGTGGTATCAAAAGCCACCGATAGATCAAGTAGAGCAAGGATGGATGCACTACGCCCATCCCGGTCCTGCCAGAGATCATCCAAAAGTGTACCCAATGCTGTTTCTGTCCCAAATCCAGGCCTGAATCCTGACTGGTAGGGGTTGAGATAATCTGTTTCATCCAGAAACCTCTGGAGCTGTTGCATGACCATCTTCTCAACAACCTTCCCCAAAAGGGCAGATTGGAGACAGTCAGAAATTATCCAACCGGGTAGAATCCGGCGATGGTTTCTTAAGAAGAGGGTGGACCGCAACCTCCTTAAAGTGCTCGGGCACCGTCCCCTTCTGTAGAGAAGCATTAATCACCGCCAGAATCCACCCATCTGTCACAAGCCAGGAGGGACATGGGTCTAAAACACAGGTGCTTGTGCGCATACTACCTAGGATCCTGTCCACTCCTTCAGGAGGAACAGGGTCAAACGTTCCCAGATAACAGGGCAAGAACCTGCCTCAGGAGCTTCCACAGTTTACATGACGAGGAGGGTGGGTTGCGGCACAGACAGATTGTAAGTAGCTTTTTTTAGGTTCATTGTAATTTTGAACAGTTGTCCAGTGACCAATTGCAAGTCAAGGACTCCTACACTGTTGTGTCATGCAAACACTAGCAGTTTTGATAATTTATTACAAGGAAGTTTTTTTTAGGCAAAAGAAAGCCAATGTCCTCAATGTCCTTCTCATTTGCACCTGAGAGACAGACAAAATTAATACACCGCCTGCATATTTCAAGGCTGGAATAACATTGGAGAGTGATGATTAGAAGATGAGAGAGTCTGAATTATTGAATTAAAAAGTAAAGGAACACCCTTGCCTTTTGGTGGAAACAGCTCCAGCATGTTAAATTTCTCTGCCATTTGATGTCAACTGATGATTTGGGATTAATTAGAGGCTGCTCAGGGATTCATGCTAATGATTAATCCTGGGAGTTAGTTTACATGCTTTATGAAACAGAAATTTTATTTCTCTTTCTGATGTCAGTCTATGAATTCATAGATGTGGCGGTGGTGGGGGTTGGTAAAGAAATTATTGTAGGTGTGGTCAATATACCATGGAGTGAAGGTACCACCCATAAAGGCCAACACTATCTAAGGCACAGTATGAGTCTTCTTTTTGGGGTATCTATCCCTTCCTAAATGCAGTCCTTCCTCTAAATTGTCTTTTTTGGGGAGAAGTGGGGGGGCTGCTAGCCTGGAGTTGCTAGCACATATCTGGGAGCTATTGGCTATAGAAGATAACTTGCTAGAAACAGGCTAAGTCATAGTCAAAAAAATGGAGACTGAGCTCCATACAATCATTACTGATGGCTCAGTGGCCAGCTTTCCCTAAGAAAAGTATGGGGTCTTAAAGTTTCTTTGTATTTGTTCTGTGGGTTTTTGACACTGCCTATTAAGTCCTCTGCTATATTGCTCTGTCCCAGTTAGCAAAGATACAGTTTTTTCTCTCTCTATGGGAAGTAATATTAATACACAATTGGTATACCTACAGAATAAGACTTAGAGACCATTTATTTAGTTATTTTATAATTTCAGTTTTGAGGCTGCCTCCAGGCGGCACTGGGCAGTTGTCACACATTAAGCAAGAAGGGAACATCACAGTCTGCTAGTACCATCTCCTGACACTGAAGCATCATTTCTACCACTTTTTTAAAAAAATTAGACAGAAAGATAAAGAAGGTATCTAGTAACAAAATGAGATTAGGAAGACTCAGCTAGATATATTTAAGAATAGAGAAAGACTTCATTATGACTGTTGTATGAATCAAAAATAAATTGGGAGGAACAGTGAGGGACACAGGATTAGTGTTTAGGTTTATTTAGGATTCTGCAACAGTGTAAAATCTATATATCTGATGCACGTAGTTTTGAAAATAAAAGAAAATAAAAAATAGAAACAATCAGATTTGCAGCTCAACCCAGATCTCTCTCCCTCCCCCTCCCTCCCTCTCTCTTTCACTCTCCGACACACACTCACTCACCTCAAACACAGATACACACCCAACACTCTTGTTGAGAATTCTGAGTATTGTTCTTGTCAAAGTCTGCTGTTGGCAATAGAGTCTAGAAGAGACCAGAAGTGGATGACCAAAACTCAGTCCAGTTTCTTAAGACTTCGGTCAACTTCAAACCAAACCTGGCAGCAGGGGGAAGTGGGAAGGAGGCTGGAATGCCTGACTAGACACAACAGAGAGCTTTCTCGTGAGAACCAAGATCATCTCTACTGGCAATGGATAAGGTTGGGGAAGGAGTGCCTGGAGAGCCCGCCAATTAACCCAATTGGCCAACGTAACCTGTGACACTTGGGGATGGGGTTCTTTCCTATTTTAATTATACTGAAACTGTGGGAAAGACTTAGAGTTAGTTTTCCTTTGAAGCTGTGCCAATATGATGTACTCAGTAAAGAAGAGCTTTGAGAAGGATCCTAGTCTCAGAGTTCTGATTTGCTTGAGTTTGTTAGTTAGTTAGAACCTTGACAGTCTCTCAGAGGGGTTTCTGCTATCATATCAATGCCTAGTCTGTTCTTTCTCCCCAACTTTTTTTTTAGTGTTGGGATGCCCCTGTGCTAACCATGGGGCTTCTCCCTTACGAATAATGACTCTTCCAGTCTAGTAATTCTATTCCTGTTTTCATTTTGTGTGAGATGTGTTTTGGCAAAGTATTAGATTTCAAAATGAGTGCTCAGTTCTGCCCTAACTGAACATTTCAATCAAGCCTAAGATAGAAAATACAGTTAAAGGGACTGCACTATCCTTCTATTCCTCCTTGAACACAGTGAGATTGTCCATAATCCAATCTCTTTCAAAGCATGCACAGAGACGCCATTTAGCTTGCTGGTATTCATCACTTGAGAAAATTAGTTCAAGTGAAACCTGTTTTCCAGCATAGTTTGAAAGGAAACAAGTAACACTTTTAGCAGTATGGGCCAAAAGAGCAACTAAATACTACACAGGGAGCTATACTGCATGAGTCACTGGCAGAGTGGAAAAAGGAGATGAACCAAAGAATCATATTTAATAGAAAATGCAAGCTTCCACCGCCCCCAAAATAGATCAAATTTTGTGCATAACTATGCATAACTATGAGTTACTATGAATAGTTACTATGAAACTAATAGTTTCACTAATCACCAAAGAATGATTTTGAAAGTTCTTACCTCTATGTTAGAGAAACAAGAATTTTAGCTTCCTCCCCAATTGCTCCTTAAAACTAAACTTTATGATTTATTTATCATTTCATCTATATATGCTATCTTCCAATTTAATTTATCAGTAAAAATTAGACTGGACAAAGATTCAATTTTATCCATCCAATGCCTAACTACAAAATTTCAACTTGACAATTCAGGATTATACTTGTAAGCAATGCACAGAAAGAACATTAAAGGAGAAGAAATTATCTTTTGAGAGCCATCTATAAATCAAATACTAGTCTGAGGTAAATATTGCTTTTAGGGAGCAGTTCCAAATTGGAATATATGAATGCCTAGCAGACATTAGGGAACAATTTCAATTGTAGTTTACATAACAGGTTTTAACACTCACCTTCAAATAAACAGAACCAAGGGAATTGAAATAAATGTAACATTCAGTGAATTGAATTGCAATAAATTCAGTGAAATCCAGTACTATTGCATCTTACTTGTGAGTCTCCTTTGGCATCAAGAGTCAGAAAACGCTTCTCCTTACGTGCTGGATGAAGAATCGTATTGTTTTGTGAAGTAGCTTCATAAGGAAGAACTCTTCAGAGCTATCTGATAGGTAAACTGAAAGATTACATTATCTGAACAGTGCAACTCTGCTTATAACATTATGTAGCCTCCAAATTACAGTGCATGTAACACCAAGTTCAGTGGAGCAAGAGCCTACAGTGCTTCTTTATGCTTGTCCTCAGATATTGATGCCAGGAAAGATGCCAATTTCTATTCCACTGATAAAAGGAAGCTGCTTCCAGAAAGAAACTAAGGCATGAAGTCCCTGCTTGCCTATACAGTAGGTCACCCACCCAATCAACGACTGAAGGGATTGGGAAATTGGTCAACTGTCCTTGGTAGTAAAAATAGCCCAGTGTTACCTTCAGATCAAAAAATGAACATTCTAATGGTTTACAGCTCCAATGCCTAGCATATCTAAATATATCAAATACCCAAGAACTTCCCTGAAATTATATGTCTATTATCTAGAAAAAGTATTTTGCATCCATTACTTGATCGCCTATGATAAATTTTGAAATTATACAGCAATGTAGGCTCAGTTCTTGAGGACTTTATGAAAGCATCCATGCAGTTTTCTTTGCAACAATGTACATGTAGTTGCAATTTTCTTTCTTCCTAGATATATTTCAAGTTCCTAGCCTGCTTATCAATACTAATATTCATTTGAAGTCTGTCGTTAAGTACTAACCCAGCTTAATCCTGTTTAACTTTCAAATGCAGACAAGGCTAATATAATTCACTGCAATGAACTACTGATTCCAAAGCCTGGTTCTGAACATGATATAATGAGATTTAAACAAAATCTTTTTGGTACCTAATGGAAGCCACCAGTATGTGAGATCAGAAGTGAATGACTGCAGTGGCCAAGAAGGGAATCTCAAGTTTTGCTGAGAGCCTCTAATTCCATGGCTTTAATAATAGGTAAGCTTGTTTTTGGTCTCTCCATCTCCCCAGATGCAATATGTAGGTAGGTAGGTTTTAAAGCAAAGCTTGAGGATTTGCTACCTCTTTTAAATTCACAATTTACGAAACTGGAAGAACAGAGACTAATTTGTGTCCACAATATTTTTCTTCCAGTCTGGAAGAGAAATACTGGAAGTGGCAGTTCACATTTTCTGAAACAGATGATTCTTCCTTTTTCCACATTTATTCTGCCTTAAGAGAAATATACTTCTATTTTCAACACACATATACACAATGCTAAATCTATAAGAAATAAACTTTTTTAAAAAGAAAAGAGAGAATGAATGTTTAAGATAATGTCTTAAATGTTTAGTGTGGACTTTGTCCCTCACACTTGTATGTACCTCCACATTTTACATACTTATTTGCCATCAACTAAATGTCTTTATAATCCAAACATGACTCTCTGTGGTTTCCAAAATGCAAACATTCAAATATAAAAGCAGAAAAAATAATATGCATGACAAAGCAAAAAGACCTCACAAAACAACTGCAGTTTTTACACCCAGGGCAGGAGATGCCCCCAAATCTTACACGTGTTCTCAAAGCTCTGTGGAATCATCAGTTTTAATGGCATTCCAAATCACCAGTTGGATGAAAACCTTAGAAGGCTCTTCTCTTAAAAGCATTCATCATATTGGCAGCTAGTGAAGATTGTTTTTTTATTTTTTTTTAAAAAGAGCCAAGCTGTGTTACTTGTGCCAGTAGTATTGTTTGCTTTATTGTGACAGACTAGCATAGCTAGCCCTCCGGGAAAAGAGAAGGCTGAAAAACCTTGACAGTAAATATGACGGCCTCCAGAAAACAGTGTGTCATTGAAGTAGCAAAAGACAGAACAACATACAGTAATTTGTAAAGTGGCTCTTGTTATTTCACATTATACAAATATAAAGATATTTTAAAACCAATTCCTGAATCGTTCTCCCAAATCCAGCTGACTCCAAGGTGAGTACTTATTTTATTTATTAAATTTAGATACTACCCATCTCACAGATGTTCATCTGAATCAGAGGTCATCATATACTGGGTCTCCTAATCTCAGTTGCCACTTTTCAAACATTAATGTACACATAATTCCAGGAAAAAACTGAGTTTTTTCTATTATTGTTGTTGTTGTTGTTGTTAATCTTCAACGCGATTCACAGTCTGGGACTGGTAAAAACTTAACAGTTCAAGTCCTAGCCAAGGTCCTAAAAACTGTTAAGGTAGTGTCTGAATATAAGGCAGTTCCAAGTAAGGTGTTTTTTTGTTTTTTTTTGCAAAGTCAGGATTTTAAACTCTAATAAATTCAAAATTTCCATGTATCTAGGCAACTTTTGGGGTATTGCTCCAAGGGCTCCTATTACAATTGTTACTATTTCTTCCTCCATAATCATTCAACTTCAATTTGCAAATCACAATATTTTGTTATTTTTTTCCAGCTGTCCTCATGCATCATCTGGTATTGCAATATCAATGAACCAGATTTTTTTTTCTTTTCTTCAATAGTGATGTCAGATACTGTATGTATCTGTCTGTTTGGATCTGAAAGTCGCCCAGGATCTTTTTTTAATTTTTTAAATTAAATTTTATGAATGAACAACAAACAGAAAAACATTTAAAAACAAATACAAATTTACATATGTACATAAATGTTAATCATCATTAATACAATTACTCCTTTCTTTTTTAAACCAGTGGTAAAACTTCTCCCAAATTTTGTAGTCAGATTCAGTCTTATCTTTTAATTCTTGAGTTACTCTACCCATTTCAGAGCATGACCAAATTTTTCTAATTATTTCCATCTCTTTTGGCATATCGTTTCCTTCCCATCTTTGGGCAAGAGCTAGTCTCGTAGCAGTAGTCACATGAACTATTAAATATATAATCTCTTTATTATATTTCCCCACATTGATTCCCAACAGAAAAATTTCAGGTCTGAACTCTATGTTAATTTTACACATCTCTTCTAACCAGTTTCTGATTTTCAGCCAATATATTTGGACTTTTTCACATTTTCACCATACATGGTAGTATGTTCTGATTTCTTTGTTGCATTTCCAGCATTTAGGGGATAATTTCAGGTACATTTTTGTTATTTTTGATGGTGGGATATGCCATCAGTTAAACATTTTATGTAAATTTTCTTTATATTATGCCGCCAAGGTAATTTTCCTACTCCTGTCCCATAAAATTTGTCAATCTTCCAAATTTATACCATATCCAAAATCTTTCATCCAGGCCAACTTCGTTTCTTTCACCTTTTCCTCTTCCAATTTACATTCCAATAATACTTTGTACATTTTTTAATCAATTTCTCATCTGTTCCTAATAATATTTTATCTAATTCTGTCTACTAATATCCCATTCTTTCATATCTTCATGATACTTCAACTGTAATTGTAAATAGGCCCACCATTCTATCTCAAATCCCAAATCTTTCAACTCCTATCTTGTTTTTAAATCATCCTTCTCATCTAATATGTCCTCATATGTATTGACCTGCCCTCGACGCAATAAATGTGGGTACAATAACGCTTGTAGTGTAGATAGCCAAGTTGGTATTTCAACGTAGATTTGCCGTTTAACTTAGTAAGGCCTGCCTAATTTTATGCCTTTGAAAGTAACCATGAATTTGATGTTTGTCCTGCCACAAAAAGGCATGCCACCCTGCCTATAAATTATATCCTTCTAATGTTAATATTCTTTTGTTTTTAACACTTATCCAATCTTTAACCCAGATCAGAATGGCCGCTCTGCAATATATTTCCCAATCTGGTAGGCCAAGTCCTCCTCTTTTAGTAGCGTCCTGCAACAATTTCAGTCTAATTCTGGGCTTTTTTTCCTGCCATATGAATTTTGATACTAGCTTATCCAATTGACCAAAGAAGTTTTTCTTTAATTTTACCAGAGCGTTTTGGAATTAAAAACAATAATTTTGGCAATATGTTCATTTTTAGAGACGCAATTCTCCCCATAAGGGGAAGTCTTAAGTTGCTCCATTTCCTAAAATCTTCAGTTATTTTTAAAATTAATGGGGTATAATTGTCCTCTTTGAGGGTTATACATTTTGCCGAAATTACAGTTCCCAAATATTTAATTTTATTTGTTGTCTGGATGTCCATTATCATTGTTAAATTTTCTTTTTGTACATTTGTCATATTTTTGGTAAGTATTTTGGTTTTTTCCTTGTTAATTTTTAGCCCCGCTACTTCGCCAAATTCCTCTAATTGCTCTATTAATTTTGGTCCAGAATTTTACGACTCTTCTAAAATAAAAACCAAATTGTCAGTGAAGGCTTGTAATTTATATTCTTCTTTATTTATATTTAGCCCTTTTATTTCCGGTTCTTTCCTAATTATTCTTGTTAGTGCCTCTAAAGTCAAAATAAATAATAATGGTGATAATGGACATCCCTGCCTCGTTCCTTTTTGTATCTCAAATTTATTTGTTGTATGGTCATTTAAAGATCTTGATTTGCTCATTTTCAAAAACTTTGTCAATTTGGTGTTTCCAGTAATTTTTGCCCCATTCAGACTCAAACTTCTGGCAAAGTTTCCAATGTATGATTTTGGTAACTCGAATGTGATGTTGTAAATAATCAGTCTATGAGATTTTTTTTTATTATAAACTTTTAAAGAATTATCTATTTGATTCCTACTTATCAGTCCTTTCTCTTCATTATCCTTCTCTTCTTGCATGTCATTTTGATTTTTCTCTTCAACTGCTTCTTCCAATTTCTCACCTGTTTTCTGAATATCATGTTCATCTTTTTCCCCAAGTTGTTGAGAGGCTTCTTCTACACTCATTTCTTTATCTTTAAACAATCCCTTGTCTCTTTATTGTTCTTTATAGTTTCATGCATGCGTTTGAGCATCAAAATTATTTCTTCATATCCCTCTATTATCCCCTGACAATCCATTTTGTAACAATTTAATAAATATTACTCAATATACCTCTATGCGTCTCAATATTTAAAAACTCCAAAAGAGCCAATTATTAATAGAATGTAGTCAATCCCATAGTTATACCTCCAAATCCCCTAAATTTATATTCTTTAAAGTTCTTTAGTATTTTACAACCTTTTGGTTTTCCAGTTATTTCTTTTCCCAATTGCCCAAATTTTAAAGTCTTATTTGATTTTTCCTCTTTCCTCTTCTATCACATTTCTTCTTTTGCCTCATAAAATGTTCTGTCAAAAAGCATTAATAATCCAAATCCAAATTAATCCACTAGGTTTCCTCCAGTCTTTCAATTCCACAATCCAATAACCAGTTTCAACAGAATTTAGTTATTTGAAATTTAGTTCCTCTTAAAAATCTTCAAAAAAGAAAAGAAACTCGCTATTTCAAAATATCCAAATCATCTTTTAAAATAGAATCAAGGTCAGGCTGCCTTCCAGGTGTTGTTTACATTCTTCTGTTATGTGTATTAGACATTTCTCACTTTCATTGAAAATTCTCACACTGTAGTGCTCCTCTTGTTCCAGTAGATGGCTTTCCTGCTCCAAATTCCAACATTAAACAGTATGTCAAAAACAGCTGATTATCTGATAATTCCAGTGGTTTTAAAGATACAAATAAGAAAAAACAGTTTCTCCCAGAAATCACTTTTCAGATTGTTTAAGCTTTTTTCCAGGCTTTCTATATTTTAAAGCTTCCTTCAGGCATTCTTTTGCCTCTTAATTTTCAGTCTTTAGTCTTCTCCGTGTGTCTAATCGCTGCCTTCTTAGCACTTGGAGATTATTTTTTGAAATTCTTGTATTCAAGCTAAGTCTTTAGAGTAAGAGTTGGAAGTTATCTCACCCAATTTCAATGCTCTATCCATGGACCATTCCAGCTCAAATCTTATATGGTTCAGCTGTCTTGCCAAAAATGGCCATTGTCCCTGCTGCCAGTGAGGAGAGTGTGCTTCGGGCCTAAGCTAACAAGGAAATTGTGGGTTCCTCATGGTCCACAAAGCACCTCCCCTTTCTTTACTGCCCCTACAAGGTGGCTTTGACCCCATAGGGTTTCCCGACAGCAGTTGCCAGCTGGATTTTGCGGGGCTTGGCGGAGCCTGCTAATTTCCAAGCCGTTCTTGCTGCGACGTCAACCAGAAGTCTTGGTCATTAGTTTTCTTATCTTTTTATCTATGTTATCAAATTCTAGCTGAGACCAATCTACTATTCCAGATATTACAGGCACTGCCAAGGTGTTAATTGCCTTTATAGTATTTCTTCCACACCCAGCTTTAATCTCAAGATTCTCTAGACTAACTTTATGTATTTTGATGAAGTAGCTTCCTTGACTTGGTTGTGCAACATGTCAGGAGCTTCGAAAGCTCCTAAGCAGAGGTGGCATTCAACCAGTTTGGACCAGTTCAAGTGAACTGGTTATTAAGAATTTGTGCAGTTCAGAGAACCAGATAATCACATCATTAGCAGCCCCCCCTCATGCCCCCCCATTCCTCCCACTACTTATCTCACCTTGCCCACTTTGGCCTAGAATCACACCCATGGCATAGCTGCTACTGCTCTCTAGTTGCCTCGAACACACGGCCGATCTCCACTCCTTGCCCAGCTGCCTCTCATGTGGCCACTCTTCGTCCGGCCTGAGAAGGTAAGGCTGATGGTGGGGGAGGGAGCCTGCCACACTCAGCCAAAGGGCTGCGACAGGGACATGGTGAGGCCTGGCTCCAGGAGGGAGGCCCAAGAGAAAGTACCTGGTCTTGGGCGCACAGCACCCCAGCATGGTGCTCTCACTGGAGGGTCACCCGCCTGCTCACCTGCTACCTGGAAGTGGTGAGTTGCCCTGTCATGGGCTGGATGTGGGACCCAAGGTGGAGGTGAGGGTAAATGTGTGGCAGCTGAGAGCTGGCCCCAAAAAGAGGCCAAAATTTGCCATGTTGCCCCTGGGGCGGTCTTTGGCTGAACGGGCAGGTCCGGAGTAGGTCTCCCTCCCATGGTATGCTGTTTTCTGCATTTAATTCTGGATCCAGGCCTGGCAGCACCCACCAAGCCGCGGTTCCTGCTGCCGCACAAGCCACCCAGCCTAGCCCAAGCCCACCAGGTACTCCTGGCCAGTCCCCCGGGGACCACAAGCAAAGGAATGATCACATTCCACCAGCCGGCCTGAGCCGGCCTGCCCAGTCAGGTTGCGATAGTGCCTGGCCTCCCAGCCACCCCCTGCCCTTTGGAAGCAGGAACACACTCTCCTTGTCCCAGGAACACTGTAAAGCTTCCACAGCCTAGTATTACCGGGCTGCTTCAGGAATGAAGGGGAAGAAAAAGGCCAGCCGGCAGGCCAAACCATTGTTTGCTTTGATTTCCCACCTCCACTCTTGCAAAGTGAAATGCCTTTTCTCTTGCCATGCAGCCCTCCCAATCTTTGAGACTGCAGCAGCTCCCTAAATGAGAAAGCTGGCTGCAAGATGAGGGGATCTGGGAAGAGAAAAGGCAGCAGAGGCAGGAGAGCAAAGCAAGACAGTGAACCTTTTGGTATGCTGACTGGCCTCTTTATTTCCCCTCACTCCCAGGGCAGCCGTCTGGAACCGCAGTGGCAGCACACATGGCTGCCTTTTCTCATGTTCTGTGATCTTTGAGACTGTAGCAACTCCCTAAAGGTAATGGTGCTATGGTGGAAAGGGGGGGCATTGTAGGCAGGCTGAAGAGGCAGTATCAATAGCCGAAACCTTAGTGTGCAGAAGCGAAGCACAACTTGCCTTTACGCTGCCCATTTCACCTTCATCATGGTACATTTGCACCTTAGTGGCACCCAAGGCAGCCCTTGGTTCCCACTGCTTTGGCTCAGACCTGGAAGCCATGTCCAGAATCAGTTCTAGTTTTGCTGTCCATCACAGCTAATACAGCTAAGAATGAACACTTGTGTTGTAGCCAATCCGGGAGCTTAATAAATAGGTGCAGGCCCCCTGCATAGTCTGTCGTTTTCTGAGAAACCCAGCTTGAGAAACTGAGGCACCAGGACTCCTGATGATGGGATGGGGTCCTTCAGACACTTAGCTTGTCCATACCAGTCCCTTCCTCTGCCTCAGCGAGTGGAGTGCAAAACTTCGGCCAAGAGATGGAGTTTGCAGGGGACTGATCTAGCTGGCTGCATGAGGAAAGAGAAGCTGGGTGAGCCAGACCCAAACATATCACGGGTCCCCTTGTCCCAGAAACAGCAACCTCATACTCTCCCCTCTCTGCTAGCCCCCTTCTTCGCATGGGATCACCCAGCAACAGGGACAAAGAGGGAGAATAAAGCGACGTTCCTGTGTGCTCTCGCTCCTCTGTGCTAATGCTGCTGTTCCCTTCTTCACACAGGATCGCCAGCAGTGGGGAGAGAGAGGGACAAGGGGGCACCATTCCTGTGTGCTGCCATTTCTGTGTGCAAACACTGCCATTCCCTTCTTTGCATGGGATTGCCCAGCAGTGGGGACAGAGAGGAAGAAGGGGCTGCTGTTCCTGTATGCTTAATGCTGCCATTAATTTGTCATAGCTTCATGGAAGTCTTCAGGAATTTCTGGATGTTGCTGCTAATTTCAAAAATGTCTAACCATTTCTCAATCCAGCCGTGTGGATCAGAATCAAATGCTTTCTTATAATCAATCCAGGCCATGAACAAATGTGTTCATCTTTTCTTTGAATTCTTCAAAACCAGTTTATCAATCATCAGTTGGTCTTTGGTTCCTCTTAATTTTTGCAGCGTTCTTTCTGTTCTACAGGCAGCAAATCCTTGTTTTCTAGATATCCATGAATTTGGTTTGCAATAATGCCTGTAAGTAATTTGTATGTTGTTGGCAGGCAAGTAATTGGCCTGTAATTTTCAGGTTTATTTCCCTTTTCTGCATCCTCCTG